TGTTTTGGGGAGCATGGGCAGGGTAGGCTGCGGCCCCTCCGGCTCCGGGGGAGAGCGGGGGGGTGGGTCTCAGTCCTCCCTGACACCCCCCCCCACCCTGGTCCTGTCCCTCCGTTGCCCCGGGATGGTCCCGGTCCCACCATGATGCTTGGACCAGGCTTATGGTCCCATCCCATCCCCCCTCCAAAAAAAAAAAAACCACCCCAAAACCAACCCACATCTGACCGGTGGGAAAATATGGCCAAAATTAGAAATGGGGGAACACCCGGGTTGACTCTTGCGCCATTAAATACCTTTCCCTAGGCACAGCGGGAGCATTTTGCCCCAGATAGCCTCAGTTTTAACCTGAATTTATTCAGGTGGGTTTTTGGGGGTGCGGGGGTGCACCCCTGGGGTGGATGGGGTGTCTTATCCTCGCCAGGGCTCAGTTCCTTGCAAGCAATTAAGCTAATTAAACCCCAGTAGGATGTGTTCGCCTTCTGCCCCAGGAATGGGGGGCAAGCGGCCAGTGAGGGTCCCGCTCGTTGTGTCCCCCCCCAGCCTCTGGACATTGTGGTCCCAGGTTGGCAGCACTGCCTGCATCTTCCCTGCTCTGTGCGTGGGAAGATGGAGGTCCACGGACGTTTGGGAGCTGGAAACGGGCACCTCGTTCCTCAGCAGCCAGCTCGGATCCCTCTTGGCATCCGTGCTCGGGGTCCAAGCAGACCGGCATGGCAGAAGGATGCGAGCCAGGGGAGTAAGCCCCAGAAAAGCTCCATTTGCTTTTGAGGTGACTTGAGGGATGGAGGCGGATTGTGATTGCCCTGCCTTAGGGTGAGGGGCTTCCCCATGTCCCCGGCACGGCTGGGCTCCTGGTCCGGGACCCCCTGGTCCAGCCGTGGGGATGTGAGAACATCTATTCCACATGGATCTTGCCCATTTGTGCCGTTGGCATGGCTTTCTGCCAAAACCAAGGTTTTCTTTTCGTTCCTCGTGCCCAAAAGAAGCCGGTTCAGGGTGTTGAGGGTGGCTGCGATGCCGCATCCGCTGAAGACATCCCTGGCTGACGGCATTGAAGATGCTCAACATGGGCTCCCGGCGCATCGGCACATGCTGCTGCGCCGAAAGGTGGTTTGGTGCGTTTGTTGGCAGGACGGGCGGCATATTTCCACATCCTTTGCCAACGAGCCCTTTGCATGGCTTTCTCCTGTTTTGGGGGAAAGAGCGTGTGTGCGAGGCAGGGGCTGGGGTTGAGCACAAAACCACCCCACCGCACTTTCCCTCTCTGTAACTCTTAATTAACCAGAGAACCCAGCCACAAGGCCAGTGAGGAGGCTCTGCTTGTTCACAGCCAGCCCCTCCAGAGCAGAAATTAAGGAGCTGCTGAATTTTGCTCCCATCCCGGGTGGGGAAGCGGCAGGATCAGGTACTGGCAGCGTGTCAGAGCGGGGACACACCGCGTGAGCCTCGCTGCCTGACTTCCCCGCCTTGGGGAGCTGTGGGGCATCATTACCGGGCTTAAGACTTCTCTCTGCTCTTTAAATAGCCGCGGTCTCCTCTGCTCTTTAAGGTCAGGCGCCTGAAGTGCCCTGACTGAGCCGGGAGTCACTCACTGCTGGGCAGCACAGCTCTTCAGCAACATAAATGACTTGCAAATGGGTTAATGTGAGGACTTTCCCCCCCAAAACACCCCAGCAGCCCCTGCCCTCCTGCCACCACCAAGCAAACTTTGGCTTTGGGGTGGGCATAGGGCTTCTACCCGCTGGTTCCCACAGCCCATTGATGTCCAGGCAGCCCCCATGGCAAGTAGGCAGGCTTCCAGGAGAGGCAAACCAGTACAGATCTTCCTCCTCCAGTCTTAGGAGATGCCAAAGGAGCTGTGCATCACCGGCAAGTGCCATCCGGCTGTGGGGACTGGCTTGTCTGTGGGTTTAGTCACCGCTCTCTAACCTCTTGTATTGCCATGGTTTTAATCATAGAAGGAGCCCACAGGGAGGCTGAAGGAAAGCATTTCAAGAGTGGCCGTTCCCGAGCTGCACTGGTGGAAAGAGGCGCAATTTTCCCCTTTGCAGGGTGCATGGCTTTTATTTAGGAGAAAGGTCGGGGAGAAAACATCCCTTCAGGGTAGGTTATTCCATATCTCGCTCGCTGCTACAGATCTCACACCCCAAAAGCGCCATCAGTGCTGGACAAACCAGATCTGCCAGTCTGTTTTCCAGGAGATGAATGGCACCATTAATGATTACACTGCCCGGCACAGGGAGGGTGATTTGGGGTTGCTCACGGTTCTTGCCCATCTTGCTGCACACTCTGGCAGCATTCCTGAAAAAGCTGGGCCCCGCGCTTCGTGGGAACCGCATCTTCCTTGGTGGAGAATTTGGATCCCAGCTCTGCTTTCTCCATCGGACTCCCTCCACGCTCCCATGCCATGGTTTTCTTGCAGGCGGGGAGAAGGATGGCACACACTTTTTAAAACAAAATTTTGTGAGAGGAAAGGGCTTTTGGTGTGCAGGATTGCTGCTGATCTGGCCTAACTTTGCCAGTAGCGGTCATGATACTTAACATTTATGTAGCAGAGTGCGCGCACAAAATGGTTTGCAAACATTATCTAATTAAGACATAAATACTTGCTCACCCCTTCCTCGTCTTCTGCCTTGTTGCCAGCAGCCCCTCTGCGCTCTTCCCAAGCTCTTGCTGGTCTCTGCTGGGCAGAGCACTCCAGTCTCCGTCCCTTTTTGGGTCTAATCCTGCTTGGGAGCTCCCACAGTTGCCTCTGGGAGTGGAGCTTGGGTTGTTTAGGGTCTCCCTTCCCTGTCTGTCCCCTTGTAGAGGCTGCCAGGGCTGTTTCAGGAGAGAGCGGTGCAGGAGGACCCAGGCCCAGCAAGCCGGGCAGGCGTCACGACTGCAAAACCCAACAAATTTTGCGTAACCGACTGACTGCCCAAAATCACAGCTGTCCCCGCGCTCAGCCTCCGTTCCTCCCCATGGGGAATTGGCATTGCAAAAATTTGCAGCACACAGACAATTAGAAATGTGGGGAATGGAGTCTGCCACGCCATTAAACAACCAGGGCTGCTGTGCTCGTTGTGTTAATTTTTTTCCCCCATTTAATTAATAGTCTTAATTTAAACAAAGCTTTTGCAGAATCCCCTGTCTGCTGCAACAAAGTTGCTGGAGGAATCCGGGGATTTAAATTCAGTTTGCTGTGGCGCGTACATGGAACTTTGCATCTGATTTGCAAAATGAAATTTGCTACCAGCTGCCTCCTGAGGGCTGAGGCTTTGCTTTGCTTTTCTCCCCTGGAAAAAAAAAAATAAGCAGAGAGAGAGAGAGAGAGAGAAGGGAAAAGCTTTGCTGCATAAACCCCAGATGGATCCGGGATGACTCCAACCTCGTGGATTTGCAGGCAGACGGGCAGCAACTGCAGGGTGGCTTGGCAGTCGCACATAGCCTGCGTGCCACAGGGATGCGCCGGATCTCGGCTGGCCGCCGCGTTGCCAGTGATGCTGCCCCAGCCCTGCCGAACCCCTGGAGTTGGCAGTACGCTGGCAGTCCTGGCTCTGCTGCCAGGAGGAAGGAGCTGGGTCGCAGCCTGCAAACACACCGGGGTTGGCACGGCAGGGATGGATGCA